AAAAATAATACAATAAAATTGACTCAGGAGGACACCTAACCTCAATATATTCCTGCTGCTGCTGCACAGCATAACAATAAAACCACGCAATCGCATTCATAAAAAATTTACATTTTTTAATTTAGTTTTATTAATAAAATAAAAACAAAAATGATGAGCCGTCATTAGGTGTAAAAAATAGAAATGTTACCCAAAGCGAGTCGACCTTTGTGTGTTTGTATATATTGGTACCGCTTTGCAGCGGTATAGACGTATGAAATCACACTAGCCGCTGAGTAATTGAATTATAATATTTATTTTATTACATAATTCGTCACGATATTAATTTTTTTTATCTTTTTTGTTCACATTCACATTCTTTTTATATATTTCTAAATAAATAAGTCTCCAACAAAATGTAATACAATAATTAATATATAACTTGCTTGACAGCAGATTTCGATAGGGACAACTAATGACATTTGTGATTTGACATCTCGGCCACGGTTTGGCCTGTCTGAAATGTATAAACAATAGCAAAATTACACTGATTTTGAAATCAAACTTGCAAAATTTCGGCTCGCTTCGCTCGCCAACACACGTTTTGACTTGTTTCTCTCATGCAAAATTTGTATTTTAGTTTTCCATATAAATACCCCCTCCCCCCCTCGAGACCAAAGTCAATTTGACCCCCCTGATCAAAAAACCGTGCGCATGTGTGATTCGGTGTAAAAAAAACTTCTATGAGTGAATAATATTCACTGAATATTAACATTTTTTCAGATGTATATTCTTAAAAATAATTCTAAGTTATTCAAGTGGTGATCAGGATTTGTTTCTTCCACAAGATCAATTACAGCTACCAAATTTCGAGATTGTTTACTTAAGTGATTAAATATTTATGTGGTCTTTGGATTACTCTTAAAGTATAAATAAACATATAAATTCATTAAACATAAATGAAATTTCCCTGTTAAATATCCTATATAACTTAATTTTTTTTGTCGGATTAGGTAAGAGAGTCATACATTCGAAGGCGCCTATTAACTACTGATCGTGCAATTGAGCGTTTATGGCAGAGTGAATTTAATTTGGATCAGTTAGCAACTATGGCAACATCCACAATTGCGATTCCTGTTCCAGAGCTCATTGTTCCACATGTTTGCGTTGAAACGAATACCAGAGACCAAACGTCCAAATTGATACATCACATCCAAATTGATACACAAAAAAAAAAATCTGCTCATGAAAACAGATATTTGAATCGAAATCTCACAATTCACGATATAGAGAACGAAAGAGGAAGACCTCTTTCAAAATACGATAGAAATATGTTGATCTTCAACTGGTTGCATTCCCTTGACGAGTCAGCAACAACTGAAAATATCAATTGAAATAAAAAATTTCTTATTGCTATTTTGTATAATGATATAATTCTCGTTAACTTTCAATTAGACGAAATTTATTATTATCATTTAAATGATGCTTAAAAATTAAAAATCTAGAAGTTTAGTCAAATTAACCAAGTCTACGTTTTCAGCCTCGGTTTCTACTTCTTGAAGCATTTTTAATGTGTCCTGTTCCATTTGCTGAACTAATTCCGGCTTTCGATACTAAGAAAAATTGAAATATGAAAAATATATTAAATCGAAATAATGAAATAAACTTACTGTTATAATCAATGTATTGTGCTGATGTGAAATGGACATTGCTTTTTGTTGTATTTGAATATTGCAACGGCTTAGTTCAGGAATTTGAATCTCTTTGAAATACTTTTTATTCTTAGTGCGAATTATTATGGCTCTCTTTATATTATCTGCTGTTATGAGATAATTTTCCAGGGGATACGGAAGGTTCCGAATACGCCATTCGATATTATGTCGAGTTATTCGTTTCGTAAGTATCGGCTATAAGGTAAAATAATTTTTTGAATAACATATTTTGATAAAAGAAAAATATAGTTTCAGTACCGCTTTGTTTGTTTCTTTTATAATTTGATTCAAATCTTTTGTGTTTGATATTGTATCACCCAATTCTATCTCCCAACCATCATCTGTGGACAGAATATTTTGTTTCTTTTTCCATGCACGTCGAAATAAAATGCCCGTTTCCATATTGTATTCTTCGCACATTTCTTTACTATCGTTGAATTTGTAATAAATTTTACGAATCTTTCCTGAAATAAATGATGATTTCTCCGCATTTTTAATATAGTTCATCCAATTTTCATATGACATTTTTTGTGGTCAACTTGTTCTTGTTTTAGATTTAGTGAAAATTATTCAGCATAGCTTAAATTGAAATAATATAACTCAATAATATAATGAATAATATCTTATAGTATAATACTGTCAAATGTGACTAGAAAATTCTAGATTATTCGAATTGAAATGTCAAAATATGTTATTGAACGTTCCCATTTATATTTTCCTTTGGAATGATATTACGCCATTACAAAATTGAACTGCACACACGTGAATCAGTCATTTATTGAGAACCTTAGCACGCTATAAAGTTAAATTTGTAAATTTTACAAAGTTTCAGTTTCATATTGTTTTACCAACTAAAAATTGTAAAAAAAATGTTATCAGCATCACGATTCGCTTCGCGTTTTGTCGAAAATCAAAGCATCAAAAAGAATTTTTCTTCAATTTTATCGAAGGTACGTGAAGACTAAATGTATTTCTATGAAATTTGATCTTATTTGAATTTTATAATTGCCTTTGATAAATTGAAAACACTGGTGATTTTTATCATTTGTTTGAAGTAAAAAAAAGGAAATCCATGAAAAATTAATAATAATTTTACATAGTTAACACGTGTATATTATGAAAAATTGCTATGAATTTCATAATTGCCGGTTAAATTGCCTAAGCAAAAAAACATTAACTCTTGATTTTAAATAATACATTAAAAATAAAACTATCTTAATTATATATCTTGTTTCTTATTTCAATTTTCATGAAGTATGGACAATACAGTGGAGGAAGTGTTTCCCAGTTCCGATGGAAGTAAGTTTGATATTGTATAGTGTCATCATAAAAACAACACAATACTATTTCTTGAATTTCATCATGTAATTGAAATCTTTTGGAATTGAGAATATTTTTCAAATATTTATATAATCACAGAGTTGAAATCACTCGCACATGTTTCCTCAGAATCTAGTTATATATTTTCATTATTATTGAATAAAAGAACGTTAAATATAATTCAATAATTTTCATTCTCGAATTAAATTTAAGTTTGAGGTTATCTAGTTGAAAATAAAATAAAAAAATATTTTTTAAATAAGTTCATTTTATGTAGTTCATTTAACTACATATAAAATATATTCTTCAACTAGATTTCAGATCAATTTAATTCTCACCAACTTTAAAAACATATAAACGAAGTGTATATTGACAGGAGAGTACTCAGCATTTAATATTATATTTTTATATATTTTTTAGATCAGACACAGTAAAAGGTCCTGTAATTGGTATCGATTTGGGAACAACAAATTCATGTGTTGCTGTTATGGAAGGAAAACAAGCAAAAGTAGTTGAGAATGCGGAAGGTGCTCGTACAACTCCATCACATGTAGCATTTACGAAGGACGGTGAACGTTTGGTGGGTATGCCTGCAAAACGGCAGGCCGTAACTAATTCTGCAAATACATTTTACGCTACAAAACGTTTGATTGGTCGTCGTTTCGAAGATCCAGAAATCAAAAAAGATATGAAAACTCTTTCATATAAAATATCACGAGCTTCTAATGGTGATGCTTGGGTTCAAGGTTCTGATGGTAAAGTATATTCCCCCAGTCAAATCGGTGCTTTTATTTTAATGAAAATGAAAGAAACAGCTGAAGCATATTTGAATACGCCGGTCAAAAATGCCGTCATTACTGTACCGGCCTATTTTAATGATTTACAACGTCAAGCTACTAAAGATGCAGGACAAATTGCTGGATTGGATGTGCTTCGTGTTATAAATGAGCCAACAGCCGCAGCTCTCGCCTATGGCATGGATAAAGCTGAAGATAAAATGTAAAAAAAGACAAAGACATTTTAAAGACATTTAACATTTTTGCACCATGTTAATTTGATTTATTAATTTTTTCAGTATTGCCGTATATGATTTAGGTGGTGGGACATTCGATGTATCAATACTGGAAATCCAGAAGGGTGTTTTCGAAGTCAAATCAACCAACGGCGATACATTGCTTGGTGGTGAAGATTTTGACAACACCATTGTCAATTTCCTAGTGAGTGAATTCAAAAAAGAACAAGGAATAGATATCACTAAAGATCCAATGGCAATGCAACGTTTGAAAGAAGCCGCTGAAAAAGCCAAAATTGAACTATCGTCCTCAATGCAAACTGACATTAACTTACCATATTTGACCATGGATGCATCGGGACCTAAACATATGAATCTGAAGTTCACTCGCGCCAAATTGGAGTCTTTGGTAGGTGATTTGATTAAACGAACGATATCTCCATGTCAAAAGGCTATAAATGATGCTGAGGTGAAAAAATCTGACATTGGTGAAGTACTGCTTGTAGGTGGAATGACACGCATGCCAAAGGTTCAATCAACAGTTCTAGATATCTTTGGAAAACAACCTTCACGGTCAGTAAATCCAGACGAAGCTGTTGCGGTTGGTGCTGCAGTTCAGGGTGGTGTGCTCGCTGGTGATGTTACTGACGTACTTCTTCTTGATGTGACACCACTTTCGTTGGGTATTGAAACACTTGGAGGTGTTTTCACGCGTTTAATATCACGTAACACAACAATTCCAACGAAAAAATCTCAAGTATTCTCAACTGCTGCTGATGGACAAACACAAGTTCAAATCAAAGTGCATCAAGGTGAACGTGAAATGGCAGCAGATAACAAACTTTTGGGAGAATTTACTTTAGTTGGAATTCCACCAGCACCACGTGGAGTCCCTCAAATCGAAGTTGTTTTCGATATTGATGCCAATGGAATTGTACACGTATCAGCCAGGGATAAAGGTACAGGAAAGGAGCAGCAAATAGTGATTCAATCATCAGGGGGTTTGAGTAAAGACGAAATAGAAAATATGGTTAAGAATGCTGAACAGTATGCACAAGCTGACAAAGTAAAGAAAGAACGTGTAGAAGCAGTCAATCAGGCTGAGGGAATAGTGCATGACACTGAAGCAAAAATGGAAGAATACAAAAATCAACTCCCACAAGAAGAGGTAAATTATACATAATTTGTATTTAAAATTAAAAAAATCCTCCATTTTTTATGTATGTTTTTTTTAATTCAGTGTGATAAATTGCGCGAAGAAATTTCAAAAGTAAGAGAATTGCTTGCAAACAAGGATAATGCTGATCCAGAGGATATAAAGAAAGTGACTAGTTCATTGCAGCAAGCTTCATTAAAGCTTTTCGAATTAGCTTACAAAAAGATGGCTTCTGAACGAGAGGGATCCACGTCCTCACAGTCAACAGAAGAAAGTACAAACAGTGAACAAAAAAAAGAAGATAAGAACTAAGCAAAAAAAATTATATACTTCACCCAGTTTTTGTTTATATACCATATGATGAATATTCCTTCTTATTATCTGTTTCACTTCCGTTAGAATTGAATAAAATAAGTAACAAAATCATTTTTCTACTCTGCATTTTTTATGTATATGTAACATAGATGGTGACGTAAATTTTTTTAGTGAATCAATTTTTGCGCGATGAAATTTTTTTCCCAGAACAAGTTGTGGTCAATTCTTCAAAAATGTTCAAATCGGCATAGCTTTATGTGCTCTTCTTATTGAATCGGTTGGTTGACAGTGGTTTCGATGTCGAAATCCGTCGAGTATTTTTGGTCAAGTTCAATGCAAACAAATATTTCAGAGCACTGAAAAAAAACCCACGGCATACAACAGCATACATATTGGACAATGAATTTCGTGTTTTTCTCATCGAAAACGACATCGAAACCAAATTGGATTTCGAAAATGCCGATCAAGTAATGAAATTTGCGATCGAACGATACGAGCTAAATGCAATTAATCGTGAAAATGAGGAGATATTTCAAGAATTTGGGTGCAACAAAACATCAAATAAATAAAACCATGACTGGTAAATTTAATACATATACTTTTATTTACATCGCATATTCAATCGTTCATCACTAAACTAAATTTCAATCGATGTTAATCTCTTTCTTCATCATCATCATCAAATTTTCTATCACAGGTACAAGTACGTTTATGAATTGTTGAATTTGCAACGTGTAATTCATGCGCACAATGCAACCAATCCGCATCGAAATTGGTCATCGTGTGTGGCGGTGCCACAGTCAAGCAATGCCAAACATCATGCAAGATTCGACACAGAAGGATTCATACGGCTAACAAATCTCTTGTATGAAACAGGGAGTGGTGAAAACATCCCATCTACTAAAGGACGGTTTTCGCATGCCCAACACAATTTCGCATTTTGGCGTCGATTTGAAAATTTGGACCGAAAATCAATAAGCCGAGTCAACAGTTTTACTTTTCCTTCACCACCGATGGATGTTCAGTCCATCTGAAAATGATTCGGCGGTCCATGTTAACAACACCAACACCCATAATAACAACAACAATGATGATGATGGTGATGATGAAAATAATGCAGTTCCGAATCCAGAACAACCGGATGCAGTGCCGTCAATCATTCAACGTGCTTACGATTCAGGACAAATTGAGAGAATTATCGGTTGTGATCCGGGCTACAGAGAATTTGTGGGTGTCGTACGAAAGATTCAGCGACCGATAATGAAGAAAATTTTCTGAAATCATCAAAAGAGTGGAACCATATGACCGATTTTTTCGACCGTCAATACAAACTGAAGCGATTTACGGGGCGCGTTTGAGAAAAAACGTCGTAAACTGCACAAAAATCGCGAAATCTATGAAATGCCATCAAAGAATAGCGCCGACTACCGTACCTATCTGGATTACCAGCTGGATGTATTCAATGAATCATGCAATCTATTTCTTTATTTTTTTTTCTCTCTCTCTCTTGAGTTGGTTTGATTTGATTTGATTTCATCTTATTGATGTGTGTTATTCATTCTTAATTATTACAGATAAAGTATCAAAAACTTTTCAAAATAAATTTCATCTTATTAATGCATATAGACGTTCGCAGGTAGCATTGCATGTGTTGGTGAAGCAAATGACAAAAGTCGATCGAAGAATGTCGGATGCTGAGAAAACAGTGGTATTGGCATTTGGGGGTGCAAATTTTGCATCAAACTCCCCAATCAAAGGATATCTAGGGTGTCCGCATCGAGCATTGCAACAAACGGCACGTGAATATGTATTCGTTTTGTCAATCAACGAACACAGTATATCCCAGAAGTGTAGTCGATCAGGACGTAAACTCAAGAAACGAAGAAGTGTGCCAGAACGTCAATCAAAAGACCGGTAAGTTGTTTTTGATTGGCATACCGTTACCAATGAATGAAATTATTATTATTGATTGTATTTGCTTTTCTTAATTGTTGAACAAAAAAAATCAGTTTTCTAGTTTGCCCCAACTGTAAACCGGTCGAAGATAGCGTTTTTCACCATCCAATTCAATGGACAGGCAGAGTTCATCGTACTTACAAAAAGAAACATACAAAATGTAGAAAATGAGAATCTCATTGTTTCAAACAATGATATCAAGACATAGTAGTGGACGATGCTAACAATTACTAGAAATAGTAAGCATATTAATTTTCACAGTTTTCACAGTGATAAATGATCTCAACACTGCCAGTACCAAATCTTAAATTAAAGCAATGTTGTTGTTGTGGTCATTGATTTTGTAAGTATTTACTTTACTTAACTATAAAGTATATACTTTTTTATAATTTCTTTTTCCATTCTGTTCCATTACGCATTGATTAATTTCCATTTTTTCCATTCTTTTCTTCTGATCAACTCTAGGTAACTGCCTAGGCCTAATTAAAATTAATTAAAAGCTTATTAATATAAAAACTTGTTTCTTCCTTCCGATTTTTTTTTTAAATATGTCGTTGTAAAGTAAGAAGGAAGCCATAAGAAAACCATAGATTTATTGCCTAAAACGATAAAAAATAAAATTCACGTATAGTTGGCGCTGCATTCTATGCAAACTTGTTTTCCGTTGCAGCGGACTAAGTGGAAAGTATATGCTTATTACATACAGTATGTTTCATTATAGAGAGAGGTTGATTTAACTACCACAAATTTCAAATATCCTAAAAATGTTTTTGGTGTTGCCATATGAGACTCTAAGCTACTACGCCAATTAACAATGACAGCTCTCAAATCAGTACAGTGTTTGTTGTGCAACGAAAACATTATTTCCGAACATTTTCATTCACGGTTTGAAGCCGTTTTTCTGCATTTGCATCCAAAAGGACAAAGAATGTCGATCACATCGACTGCTAAATACATTAAAAAGTCAAAAGGGTTCGTAATAAAGTGAATCCAGCAGTATAAGCATGAAAAAAAAGTGAACGACCAGCCCAATCTGAAGCCAAACTGAGCCTCCTCGCAACAGGAAGATAAACGGAGAGTCAAGTTGTTCGATAAAAATTTAGGTATGTTGTTGAGCCAAGGTGTTGAACGGCTACGCCGTCTTAAAATAGAGGTCTCGCGCTCTACTATCAGGAGAAGATTAGATGTTGCCGGTGTTCGTTATCGCAGTAAATTGAAGAAACCGCTTTTGACAGAAAACCAGAAGAAAAAGGCACTGACGGGGCAAAGCAAAATTCAACAAGAGATTGGAGCGAAGTTATATACACTGACGACTCAGTGACGAGTCATTCTTTTGGCTGGTGAATAGCACTACCCATGCCTAGTCTAGAGCCCAAAAGAGAATGGTCGTTCGCACGGTAAAGTATCCGAAAAAGGTGCATGCTTATGGTTGCTTTTGTGAAGCTGGTTCTGGAAAGTTGACCATATTCACGGGGATTCCAAGCGCCGTGAGGATGAACCAACATTATTCATCGACACAGTTACCCATCGCTAAGAAGTTCTATGGCAACCACAATTCGAATTGGCTTCTATTAGAAGACAACGATCCAAAACACAAAAGTCGTCTATGCAATGCTTGGAAAGAGGAAAATGACATTAAACAAATGGACTGGCCGCCACAGTCACCCGATTGCAATCCGAACGAAAATTTTTGGGCTATTATTAAGGCATGGCTTCGTGGTAAAACATACCGCAATTTGAAGCAGCTCAGTTCATTCATTCAGCGCCAGTGGAAAGGTTTTCAAAGCGAATATGCTGAAAATTTGAGCAAAAGTATGCCGAATAGATGTGCCTGTGTGATCGAGAAGGCAGGAGAATGGATTAAATATTAATTTGTGGCGCCGTAGCTTAGATACTAAATAGAATGTATATAAAATAATTTTGTAAAACTCTTGAGTTTTATTATAAAAAATCAACCTCTCTCTATAATGAAACATACTGTAGAATGTAGCGCCAACTATACGTGAATTTTATTTTTTATCATTTTAGACAGTAATCTAATCGCTTCTTTAAAAATCAATATTATATTACTCTACAATTCCTGATCCATTCCTTCAATTCGTTTTCCACTTTCCATTCTGTACTATTACGTTCCATTAATTCTACTTCTTTCATCGCTACATTGTGACAAAGCCATTCAATACACCTAACCTCGCTTTGTTATCTACATTTTATATTGACGTTTAAATAAAAAAAAAACACATTTAGCCGCACACTGTGTGTTTATTTCCAATGCTAATTTCAAAACGAAAGCAGAATTAAATTGTGATTGAAGTGCATGGATTGATATTATTTATGATTTGCCGCGAAAATTAAGATAATTTTTATTGAACTTTTCTAAAACCAACATGATGATGACATCATGATGTATATTTATTTTATTTCTTTTTATTTGCCATTTCATATTAAAGTACTGAACTCGGTTATAATTTTTGGACCATAAAAATGACATTAATTGACATTTATACGAGAAAAAATGAAGGTCGACGTCGAAAAATGAAGGTCACCCACGGAAATTCGGCAATTCAAACTAAATAATGGATTACTTTAGAATCAAAGTTCACGACGTGCAGAAAAGAATGAAAGGAATTAAAATGCTTACCAGAACTATGGATTGTGGAATGACTGCTTCAAAAACCTTGAAATTTCAATCTGAAATATTTATTACTGGTAATTGTCTATGGAGTAAGTAAACGTCACTGAAATGAGAAAAAATTTAAAACACAAATTACATAATTTTATTTTGAATTTAATTTATTCTATAATTGAACATTGAATAGAACTTAAGCAAGAACAATTTCTAATGAATTCTTATTATTGAGGATTACGTATCAATGTTGTCAAGTTAATCGAGCAAAAGACAGTAGGTAAAAATAATGGTAACAAGTGTTTTTTACAATGAGGTTCACACTTTTGCATTAATACTCGTCAAAATCGTGCCATAATTTGGCATTTTCTATTAAATTATTAATTGCATTTCCAAAATGGTCGTTTTCGTATTAATTTCAAATTTCAGATACAACATAAAATATTGGTGACTGCTGTTTATTTTTTTATACAGCAGTATGACGTTCAGTTGATTGTTGTCTTCGAGATGTGCCATTTGAACCGTATGCGATTGCATGTGATCGAACAGCACCTTTACCTAAAATAATAATTTACCACAAAATAATAAATTTTAAAAGCATACTTGGATTAGATAATGAATATATATATGATTTGTATATATGAACCCATTTTTTTTACCAGTTGAATAGGCATTTGCAACGGCAATTGTACCGCCAGCAGCACGTCCAAAGCTAACTGGGAAAAAGGTGTAAACTGGCGATCCTCCGTTTCTTAATGGTTTGCCTGGCTTTTGTGGTACGTATTGATCATCATCTTCAACATCATATTCATTTTCATCGTGCTTTTCTGGGATGTCAAGAGCAATATGAACCTTCTTCTTTGGTGTTTCAGGTGCTGTTGTTGGTTGCACTTGTACTTGTGGCTCTTCAGCAGCAATAACTTTACTTTCTGGTTCTGGGGTAAATGGAGCAAGTGGAACAACAGGTGCAATATTTTCGGTGGAGTCATTAAGTGTTTCGGAAACTGCTGGTACGACATTCAACGGAACAACTTCATTGTATTGATCTTCACCTTGATCAAATTGAACAGTTCCTTGAATAGGTACTTCTGGATAGGCTTCAGCAATGGCCTCAACATTACCATCATTGGACGATTGCTCTTGAGCAACAGCATGTGGGACATCCTCAGCGGGAACTTGATTTTCTATCGAACAAAAAACAACATTTTGCAAAAATTATGTTAAATTATTATTATAACCTAACCTAAGTATACCTCTAACTACAGTTCCAGCAGCTATAGAATCACCTAGGGCAAATGCACTTGTACTACCAGCTGAACGGCCATACTGAGATGGTGCATAGTGCACAAACATTGCTTGATGGTATGGATGATAGTATGGCATGTTGTAGTATAACATTCCTTTTTATCGAAATAAAAATAGACAAAGATCAATAAATTGAATTTCAAAAGAACACTGCACAAATTCATCTTAATTTAAAACTTTTTCTATATTATATACCATTTCGAGCTGGCAATGCCGATACTAATGAAATGAAATACAAAACGCTGACAATTGCGCAGGCCTTCATTTTGATTGAGTTTTTTCGTTTCTTTCAAAAATTCTGCGAAAAATTGGTACAATGTAATAAAACAAATAAAACAAATGTATTCGATTTGGAACTAAACTTCTTCAATGAACTTCCACCGTTCGAATGATGATTATTTCATTGAATCCAAAACATTTTATACTTAAATCGATCTTAGATGAAATCCGTTTGGTATTCATGACAAGAAACGTTCGATTTTTTTCTCTTATGCATATTAAAAGAATTTATTGGGTTTTGGAATAGAAAATTTGTTATACGCTTATTTTTTTTTATTTCATTGTTATACGCATAATAACTATGTTTCTTTTTTCGCATTTGAGGAAATTGAAGTCAATTAGAAGGACTACATTCATTGAGTAAAAAAATTCTTTGCAAACCTAATGACTCATCCTGTGCGCGTATCAGTAATTTGAATTAATTCATCTATGAAACTGTTCGCACATGTTTGACCCAAGTTTGTTTGTGTATTTTTGGTCATTTGCACTATCGATTCGAAAGAGATAGAGAGAAACCTATCGCATACTCTTATGAATGTTAATGTTCTTTGATATCTATTGTGTTCATCATGCGAATTTTATTTATTTAGTGAGTTGTAAATGAAGTAAACGCTTACGTGCGTCAAATCACATACATTCTACCAACTTGATTGATTCTTTCACAAATTCTTTGCACCTTCCGAGAGATTCGCGCTTGAATGAAAAATACCGAAAAATAAAAAAAAATACTCTGCTGAGTCATATTCATTGGAATACGCGATAGAATCATCGAAACGAACTTGGTGACTTTTTTTCAATTCTTTCTTCAATATGTTGCAATAGAATCTAACGATTATAACCTTTTTCCGTTTCCAATCTCAACATTGACATGCAGCTCGTTGCAAATAAACACCGCTTGTTATTTGTTTTTTTTTTATTGTATAATAATCCATTTTGTCATAATACTGCTGATAATAATAAAACAGACTTCAAAAGCCGACAGTCAACCATGAGTAGAAATTTTTGGCAAGTAATCTGCACTAAATCGCATTTATATTCAATGTGCATTCGATTTGATGGCCGAAAAAGTAAATGAAATAAAAAATTAGTTATTGATTTTTATGCATTTTAATTTTGAGCTTGGGGCTGACGATTTGATTCCGCAATATTTTATGAATTGTACGTAAAAATTTTGCTTCATTGACTTGGTAACAAAAAATAGAATGTTATTGTTACTGTTTTCTTTCTTTCTCTTTTTCTCTTTTCAATTAGAATGTTTTATTTTTTTTAATTCTCGTAGATAATAAAATTGGTAATATTATTTTGATTTGATTCCCTGTACATGTGTTGAATGCATTTATAAAATATTATATCATTTGGATCACCCATTGAATTTTCGGATCATATATTGAATTCTGAATTACGCAGATATTTTGAATTTTTTACAGATCTCAATCAATTTATGCTTTTCATTCCGTACGAAATATCAGTAGTTTCCTATAAATTAAGTCAACAACTTTAAACAGATCAGAAAGGTCAGATGAAAGTCTCTCAGCAATGATTTGTGTATTATTTAGCTCAGTGGGCACAAATGACGGTTTTTTTCAAAAATTAGTGTATATTTTGGTGTATCCGCAATATTTTCGGTATATCACGAATTTTTTTCGAATTTTTGGTGTATCAATCTAGTGTATGAGATACACCGCTGAATTTTGGTGTATACATTTCACCAGACGTGGTGTATAACATAAACCGCAAAGTTTTTGGTAGATAACTCGCACTACTTTCTCGATTTATGGTGTATCCAAATGACTAAGTCCCAGCAGTGTAACGTATACACCACTTAGTGGTACAATATTTACACCAATATAATAACAGTGCATTGCATACAGCAAATTGGTACATCATATGCACCGGTGCATCAAATATACCACAAGTAGTGTATATCTTTTACCGCTGCCATATTTTTATGATATTCTTCTTCTTATATGAAACAAAAATTGTAGCCATTTTTGCAGCATTGAAATTACTGAATTCATTTGAAATTTTTTCTATTGAAATATATATTTGAAACAGTATGAAAAGATTTTTCGTTCAACAAAGTCATGAAAAATATTATTTTGAAGATATAACATAAGGATGAAAAAATATTTATTTTGCTTAAATATGTTTTTTTATTTAAAATCACGAATTTTTCAGGCGCATGAATTTTGAGGGGGGGTACCTTACAATTCCAACACGTTAAGTGTATTTCGTTTTAAAAAACTAAAAATTCTCTAATTTGAATATCAAATTTCGCTTTTTTTTCTGCTCTTAACTTTTTTGGCGAAAATCCTTAGCAAATTGAAAGAATTTTTCTTGCGCCAAAAAACCCTTGCTAGGAATTTCGAATAATTTCGGCCAATATCACAGGCCCTCCTGTTTAATTATTTATCAATTTAATTTATTAAAATTCGTAATCTGATTGGTCATTACATAAGTCTTCAGTTTTAAACTGCATAGAGTTCTTGAGTGAATTGGCCGAGATCACATTTGAACTATCATATGAAAACCGGATCACAAACACTGCTTTTAAAGAAATTGAAAGATCTATTTAAATAATATTACACAACCAAAAACCGGCTGTCGTTATTTTATAAGTAATAACATTGAAGGGGAAATGTAATTTTAATAATAACTGCACCGAACAGCGTTCCTTCGCCTTGGTGGTTTATTGATAATAATATAATTAAATAAATAAATATATACAGGGTGTTTCACAATTCCATGCTAATCTCTCTACCACAGATTCATCAGCTCAAGAGGAGTAAAAAAGTGTATGAGCAATTTTTCCAAATCGGCTGTTTTAGTGGGGTTACTGTCCTCGGCCCCTTAGGGTCAAAATTTTCTATTTTCTGGTTGATTTTTACGGACGGTCACCACAGCGTTGTTTTTCAAAAGCAATTTTTCATTATTGTCTTGTTCGAAAGGTCTCTCGGCCCTCTTGAGAATATCATGAAAAAAATTCAAAAAAAGTTTCAGTGGAGACGGTCAAAGTGGGTTGACCAAAAGTGAAAAAAATCATCGAAAATCGAGGAAAATCGTAATTTATCTCGAAAAAACATGTGATAAACCTATCTTTTTTATGCCAGAAATCGAAAGAGCATTCAATTTTGGTCCGGTATGCACATTTTCAGATTCCAAATTTATGTGGTTGGGTAAAAATTTACAACAGTCCGAAGTGGAGCGACCAAAGTTTCTTTTCATTTTTTTGAATCAACTTTTCTGGGCCAGTTTTTTGCGCTGATTGTTGATAGTCTTTCGATTTCTGGGGACCCCAACAAACGCTCAGTTTTCCACCAGAAAACTAATGCTGTAATTTTTTAAATTTTGGTTGGTGTGAAAAAAGTCATAGTCATTTTTCTAAAAAAACAACACATGCAGCGCCATTTAACGATCATTTTCGAAAGATTTTCCAATGTGACGTCAGATCTGGATAGCTGAGGTTCGTAGCTTTTCAACGACATATAGATCATTACCTCACCTTTCATAAGCATAGAGAATGGGCCTTTCGATGAAAAACTCAAAAAGTGCGTCCGAACATTTTTCGAATCCATACCTCAGCCACTTGCCCGACGAAATCGAAAAATTCGAAGAGACATATATGCTCAGTTTTCCATCTACTTTCGAATAAAATCTGTCTCCGTCGATTTATCAAAAACAACGGAAAAAAATTTGCGGACAAACAAACATATCATTTCAAAAATGTCGTGTTTTTTCGTAAGATTTTTTGACATGATCATATCTCGGACACTTTTCGATCGATTCCAACAAAAAATAAAGAGGCTTACGTACGCAAGCTGACTTTTCCGCATGGAACCGAAATTTTGGGAATAAACAGAAATGACGGCCTATGTATGGTTGCAGTAACTTAAATCACCGTGAAAACTTGTGAATTTTATTTTCTTATCAAAATAAATAATCACACCAAGTTTAAAGAAATTTCAATCAAAAAATAGCCTGTTCAAAGTTTCACATCATTACGGTACCACAAAGGCAAGTCTTTCATACAAAAATGAAATTTTTTGTGGATTTTTGTATGAAAAGTCTGTGTAATTACATCTTAAAACTAACATAAGATTCGGGTTTCTCGTGACAAAAGCGTTCAAATTGAAAGAATATCATTTTAAGGCATTTTTCTCATAAGTGCCTCTTCACAGTCTAAGTTTTACATCGATCAATCAATGTCGTTGAAAATTTGACCAGATCTATTCCTCGTAATGCCCAATCATCCCGTAAAGTCAGATTTTGAATTTCATGTCTGAGCACGAAACCATCGTGTCACCAAAATGGTTGAAAAATGATCAAAAAAGTAAAATGTATGGATTGTGAGTACTCCATTCGGACCAAAAAAAATTACACCGGTCAACAGATATTGCTCAAAAACTAATCAGCACGTCTCCTAGTAGTCCCAAATCATCCTGCAAAGTCAGAATTTGAATTGAGTTTTTGGAAGAAGATTTATCGAGTTAACAAATTTTGGCAACACGCCACAGGACACAGGACACATCACACACAGCGACGCACATTAATATGCCCCAAAATCATCTTCAATCGTGTTTTCTACTGAATATGCATAGAAAACATGTTTTGGGATGACTTTAATTTTTTGGCCTAATACAATACCTTTCCTACACTAGGTGTGCGGAAAAGTAAAAATTCAACACTATCCACCCAAACTCTAGTTTCCGAATAGGCTATTTTTCGGAAAATTGTTTCTGGTTTAACCAAAAATTTACCCTTTTTTGAAGCGCCGCTAGCGGTCAAATTTTGATTTTTTTTTTTGCGGATTCTTAATGTTGTGCCCGAGCACTACTAAAATATGCAAAAACCCTTTTCCAAAAGTCAGCGGTATCGATTTTCATTTCTTTACAGTATCACAGCGTACGGCCTTTCGCGCGAGTGACGAAACCACATTTATTTATTTATTCATTCACCGTCTGATCACAGACTGTATTTATCACAAAATTTTGTACAATACCATTCACAATGAATCACTATACCCGATCGAATATCCAGCTACCAACCTTGTCGACTTCGGAGCAGCAGATATCGATTGAACACAATTGTTTTAATCTCCAATTTTCAATACAATTTTTATAAAA